CACACCACCCTCTCTCTTTCTTCAAAGCGCCTCATCAAAGAGCCAAGGAGGAGGAGTGGATAGGGAAGAAGACCTCTACGTGCAGCCCACGACATCCACGCTATTTTCGGTGATCCTCACTGATGTTTCCTTACCTCTTTATGCAGGCAGTGCGTCCAGCCCTACAAAGGAGTGGGTTGGTGTGAAGGGCCAGGAGGATTTCTGACGCGATAACAAGCAAAGCAAGATGTATAGGGAGGCAGAATACTTATCAGACTGCGAGGTATCACTGTTAAAGACGTGCCTGGGGCACACAAACCCTTCTCTGCACCCCAAGCAGGCTTCAAGGCCCTCGCCGGTGGCAGCTGCAACAATATTATTGCTGCGAGCCAGCATCTTCCCTCCCGAGGGAAACTGGGGAGGCACCGCTGGGAAAATTGTTTAATCCGGCAGAGGCGTCCCCCGAGGGAGGAAGAGAAAGAGATCTGAGGAAGCTCGGGTCCCCTGGGCTACCAGCGGGGAGCAGCAAGTGCGGCTGCGAAGACAGCTGGGCTGAAAGCTGCTGGGCTCTGGCTATCAGACGCTCTGAGAAGGTTAGAGCAGAGTCAAGGAAAGCCAAATGAGAAACAAAAAGGCTGCCCCCAAAAACAGCCAAACAATAGAGGTCTCCAGGAAGCACCTCAGCCGGCAGCACAAGCACACCACAAGCCAAGCCAGCAGAAGGCAGCCACAAGGATGCTACCTCCAGCAGCTACCACCGGGTTCTTACGCTGGAATGCCAAATATTTAATAGCTCGGTGATAAAACAACACGTGTGCAGCACCAGAAGACTGCTCTTGCCCAAAGCAGCCCACAAGCGCCGCGTGCAGAAAATACAAATTAAACGCTGACATCAGAGAAAAATTCCGCTTTGTGAAGAGAGCAAAAAGCAAACAAACATCTTGTTGTCGTGAACAAAATGTTGACCTCTGCAGCTCTGGGAAGGCTTCAAGAAACAACATAACTGCAGGGAAAAATGTGCAGGGCAGCAGAACGGAGCGAGCTCTGGCCTCTGAAGGCTGCCTCCCACGTGCCCACGCAGCACTGTCCCCTCCAGACTGCTCACACCTCCCCCTGCCACCTCCCTGATCCCCCAAACCTGCAGGTAATCGACACGATGGTTTTTCTGCTCGCTCACGGCACGGCCCATGGATCACACTTCACTCTGCCTTGAGGAAATTCACGCAGGCTTTTGTTACCGATACTTGCAGAATTGAACTTTTCAAGACAGGGATTTTATCAATGAAAAGTTTAAGAGTTGCAAAAATAACATCATAAACTATTACAGCTTTTTAACGGGATTTTTCTTGGTCAGACGTACCCCAGGCATTTCCAGACATGACTAAACTCCAAGATTCCCATTCCCAATTAACGCACGCGTTCCCCCAAAGCCACTCGGTGTGAGATTACTGCCCAACCTGATGGTCTTTAGGAGGGCGACTGGCCCTGCTCCAGCCCCACCAGCCTTCATCCTTATTTTTACAGGCACAGCTTCCAGCTTCACGCTCTGGTATGCAACCTGACACCCAAGTCCATTAAACTTTCTATCAAATACACATAAAAATGAACAAGAGGCAATCAAGCTGTAGCCTGTCCTCTGACTGGTAGGAATACGCTTTTTTTTTTTTTTTCTTTTTTTTGAGGACCACCAGGGACCCAGACGAATGCTGGATGCTCGTGCAAGGGGAATTCCTGGGGAGAAGAGCTGGCATTTCACACGGATGAATGGAGATGGCACTAGGATTCCCATCGCTGAACATTCAGCATCAAACATAACTACTGTGAAAGAGACTAGAAAGGACAAAATTGATATGTTTTTTCTTTTACTGGAGCCTATTTATGTTGTCATCTTTGGCTATGAGGCAGATTTGACACCATTCACTGAAGGCTTGACCTGACACAACAACCTGCAAAGGCTGGGGAACACGACTGTGCAACGTCTGGCCAACTTTAAAGCCTTTTCCAAACCATTCATGCTACAGGTCTCATTCCTCACAACAAGCCCCTTTGAAGGTTATCACTGCAAGTCCTTTTTCAAACTAACACATGCAGCACAGACACAGCTGTCAGCCTACAGAAAACTGCCTAAAACCTGATGCTGAACGAGCTGTGGTCAACTCCTGTAGAAACGTTTCAGTCTGTTCATATGGCTTTAGTTTGACTTCAATTTTTAAGTGGAGACAGGATTTTTAGTAATGCCTACAACCGGGCACTGACACACAGGCTGAGCTTAAATCCCAAGCTGAACCACGGGAGGCTAAACCCTCTGAAGGGATCCTGAGGGATCAACTTTTGTAGCTTGTTAGAGCTGCAGCAATCTGCAGCCTTTGTTAAGCACCAACAGCAGCTCTTCAATGGCCCAACTCACTTTCTCCAGGACAGCATGCAAACCACGGATTTTACATGGTAAAACCAACATTACTTCCAGATGTAACAAAGGCTTCATTGTGCTCGTCCAAGTCCAAAAACAGAAATGCAAAGTGTGCTTTCCACGAGCGAGGTGTGGGGAGAAGAAAGTGGGTGGCGATAAGGGGCAGGGAGAGAAGGGTTTGTGCGTGAGAATTAATGCACCCTTCCAACCACCCCATACTTCAGCAAACTTTCAGAGCAGTAATGAAGTTTGCAGGGCAGCACAATTCAACTGACATGAAAAGGAGGCATCCCCTGAGTGATCTGGTAATTAAAACCCTGTAGCATCACAAACTCAGTAACTTGTTGACTTGGTAACAGCAGGTGGCAGGGACTTAAACAGCGATTCTTTCCACTGCTACTGGACAAAATGTTTTAATACTTGCAAGGATCTGCAGCATTTTGACTTTACAGCGTGGAATCACAAACAGTACTTGTAAGACCTTTAAAAAAAATCACATGGTCAAACAAAACTGGAGATCAAAAGGGCAAAAGATACTGCAACAAACTACAAGGGAATGATTCAGCCACCGAAAAAAAAAATCCTTTGTTTTTGGCAGCAGTTCAAGCTTCTCAGCAGAGCATGTTTAAGTATTAGTCTTTCCCACCTGCAAGGCAAAGGATCCTGTGCTGCTAGAGAAAAGTGACACCTTGTATCACCTGCCAAAGCACATAATGCAGCTAATTACCCTGCACCTCAGCGCCAGGCCAGGCAGAACCAGGAACTCAAGGAAGTACAGGTTTCGGTGTCACTGCCTCAGAGAACCATGTGTTTGAACGCCGTTGTCAGCTGGTACGTAATAGGTGATAAAAATAAAACAGATTACCCGTTTGTTGTTCAGACTGATTTCTCCCAGGAAAAAGCTATCTGGGCTAAATTCCATAAAAACATGCATTAAATACCTTAAATCCGTAGTAGTTTACATAAGAAGTTGAGCAATCCACTTCTTTACATAAGAAGTCTATGGCAATCAAAAGCCTGCACATCTAGGGTGCCCTCACAGGACAGGTTTGTATCCTCAACACTAGGGATAAAACTTCCAGGTATGACCTACCTGCCTGTATCAGAGCCTAAAGGTTAGCAAAAGGGAACAGGCTACATCTTCAGGGGACAGGAAGAAATTTAAGACACAATTTGTTGGAAATATAACTCTCAGAGGTATCGTGGAGATTTCTTTAACCCATTTTGAAAGGAATCTTTCTCTCCATAAACACAGACCTTTCTGGTTTCTTCTCTAACAAGGTTTTTATGGATCCCAAGAGTCCTTGTCTTACTTTAATTTTCTAGTTAAATTAAATTGTCGGTCCAAACATGAAGAGCAAGTAAATGGAAGTGATACCCGAGCACATCCACACAACTGTATTTCGCCAAGCTTGTATCTGTAGAAAAGGGAACAGGCATGGTTGAGAAGGAAAATTACTCCAGAAGAAAGATGCAGCAGAGAATGAATTGCAGAGGTGCAAAAGCACAGCCTACAACGAAGTAAAAACAAAAAGGGAGAGAGGAAGCAAACAAAAATAACAGATCCTCCCCTACTGGAGGCTGGAAAGGAAAAAAGCATAATGAAACCATGAAGATCTGAATGCTTAGCAAGAAGGGAAAATATAGCCAACGCTAAAAATTAAAAGGGGGAAGGGTTATAATCAAATACAGAACACGTCTATTTGATTGTAATAAACTGCAGACAATTGCTTGCAGATCGTAGCTGTGCTTTGACTTAAACATTGCAGCTTTACTCTTGAAAGACTTATCTTTCTCTAGAGGTCCTGAAAAGCCTCTACAAATCATTAAGTTCCTACACCCGCAGCAGTGTAATAGACACAACGCTACGCACATTTTAACAAAAACAGAACAAAGAGAGATGAAGCAGGAAATGAAAGGCTTAAGTGGAATCACAATTTGCCTCTTCATTCCCAGCCTGTGCTTCAGCTGCCAGTTTACAACCTCTCTCCTATTGATCATCATTCAAAGATTAATATGCCTGAAGATTTTGATTACTCCCACATATACCCAAGCTCATTGTTACTAGTTTAAAATCAAACCATTCTAATGAACATAATTATTTTTATTTTTTTTTTGCATATCAAAGGTAACAGGCAACATTTAAGGTAGCCCTAGCATATTCCAAACATACATCGTTTGTACATCAGCCTGCTCCAACATCCTGGAAATGCCTTTCCTGGAAGCTGCTTATTTGTAGCTGCTTCGCTCTCTAACAAAAATAGTCTGAAAATCAATGCTATCATCAGTTTGGAACAGTTTCTTATGAAAATTGGAGGCCCACTGTGTTGTGCAATGGGGAAGACCAAAAAGGAAAAACATCCCAGATGGAAAAGATCAAATGCAAATAATGTAGTACGGGAAGGTCTACAGCTTTTAAAAGAGATTTAAAAGGTGTTATATATATATATATATATTAAAAAAATATATTTTTTAAATAGAAAAGTTAAAATATCCCTAGTGCAATAGTCTGTGTTCAGGTATTCAGTCTGTGTGCATCCTTGCAGATCCACATTTAATTCAGGAATGGCAACGCAGGTCCCATAGGAAGTTACTGTTGCTGTATACTCACATAGACTTCGCTGTGATCAAAGCGCTTCTTCAGGTTATTGATGAACGAGTCTTCATTAAGCGGCTCCAGAAGAACCATATCTCCCACCCCTATCATGTCATCTAAAAGTGACGTCTTGACCTCCATCTTGGCCATTTTCTCCTGCAAAGAGAGAAAGGAAGGAAAAAAAAAGAGCAAAGTTAGTTCAAAATTATTCTAATTCTTCACAGGCATTAGCCACTGATACTACTTAGGATTCACAAGTAAAAACCCATCAAATGACACTTCTCTAAAACTGATTTTTCTAAAAGTCATTCTGTCTACCCAAGCGGTTTGCGCAATCCCAAAACATTTAGCTCTGACATGGAATAATGCCTTCCAGTTCGCAATACATTAAATATGAAATCTCACGAAACAGCAGCGAAGAGCAGTGGGCGCCGCATCCAGATTTTCTGAATGGCTTCAACACAACGTGCTCGCACAAACTCGAGTTTACCAAAAGCTCCATCAGCATCTGTAGTGCCTTAAATCAGGATATTGAGCAATCTAAATCTCATCTGAATTTCTTTCTCCCCCTTTCCTGCATTTCTCTAATCTGACCAACTTTTAAATGGAAACCAACCAAGTGAACTTGCTCCGAGACAAAACCACACTATTTTATCCGAATTGCATCACTATCGCACATTTTAGGTATTTTTTCAAAATGTCTTGTGATAGTTGGTACTTCATTCAATCAGCTTTAACTCGCCATTGCAGCTACCCACCCAACAGCTAATTTTAAACAAGTGAAGCCTTTACCTCCTGCTGGTGTCCACAGCCACCGCGTGACAGTGTGCCACTCGATTTTTGAGCGGCGAGTGACATTTGAGGGACATTAGATCAAGCCTTAAGTCGTGTTTGATGTTTTTCCAAACTCAACGAAGAGCAGCACAGCTCCCCAGGCAGCTAAGGGAAGCGCTACAACAGGATCCCCAACCTGAGCCAAGCCTGGGAATTACTAGAAATTCACATGGAAATGCAAAAACAGTGCTGAACTATGGTAACCAGCCCAAGCTGAGTCAACTCTGCTACACAAACAAGAGTTTGTTTTAAACACAAACATTGTACAACTCTATTTTCTAATTTTTAGAGAAAAGCTCTTTCGTTCTTCACAGTTCACCTCTACGAAGCAGCAAAAAAAATATTTCAAACATTCACAAAATCCTCCCAGAGGTATCACTTCAATTGCTGCATCCCGTTAAGAGAAATTCGTTAAACTACCAGTCTTGTGTCAATGACCTAATTACTTCCCAAACAGCGATTCATGTTCACATCATTTCTGAAGGCTGGAAAAAAAAAAAAGTCCTCCTCGAGTATGGAACTTATTAAATACTGGGTTTGTAGCCAAAAGGGAAAAAAAAAAAACTAATATAAAAATCCTAATATGGGCAATTGCAACCTAAAATTTCGATTCTAAATAGCATACCTCATCTACCATTGTGAAATTACATACCACCTACCACGCTTCATGCATCACTGCTTGGGAATTTGAAGACCCAGAGCTGCCAGACCCATCAGGAACACTCTGGCATCCCCAACCTCGGAGGCACATATTGCAGGAGAGGTGCACAGAGGCACCACGTCCACAACTACAAGCCGAATCAGAAAGTTGTCTGCATGTATTAACTCATCTATATATTTATGAAGTTAAATTTTATGGCCAAATAATTATTTGCAGCTTTTTTTCACAATAATTTAGAATCATACGATGGTAAAAATTTCCATCCACTTGAGTGCTAGAAAATATTACAAGCGCAGGGGATAGAAAGTGGCCAATATGTCCAGGCATCTTGTTTAAAGCTCAATTGTCAAAATCATTTGCAAAAGCTTAGCCTTTGCAAAAGATGCATTAAATCAGCCTCACACACTGGTATGTCCCTGAGGAATATTCTGCCACCACCTTGGTGGAATCCCATCCTAAACCCTGCTCTGGTTCAGCTAACAGCACAGGAGAACCTGTCAAGATCCTGGGATAAGCCGGTTGCCTACCTGGAGTAATAAGCAGGAAAAAAAAAATGTTAAGAAAAGCCAACAATGTTTAAACATACATTAAACAATTTGATTGAATTTAATAAATAATTTAACCTCTGTCCTGGTGAGCACGTTCAGCAGGGTTTGGAGAGCTGTAGATAAAAGCAACCAGCTCCTACCTCCGTCTGTATTCTGGCATCCTCTAAGAGGACCAAAGTTCCTCAAGAACCATTTGCAAGAGCAAGGGCTACGAGAGGATGGGACCAAAACACGCGCCCAGCGGCTTGGGGACCGGCAATGATTAAAACCACAGCTGTGCCGGGTAGACACCAGCAGGCAGGAAATTAGGTTAGAGGAAAGAAACAAAATGGGTTACGTCCTTTAAAACAAGGGCATGGTGAATATTTTTACACGAAGGCTGCTGAATGGGAGGAGATTTCGGGAGGCTCTGTCTGAACTGTGCTGTAATTTTTAATGGGGAATTCAGCAGAAACAAACAAAAACCTACACGGGGTTCCCTTGATTTACCTAATGCATGGCTTTTATGACTGTAACATGCCACGTCGTTGATATTAAGCAAAACAGCAGTGTTGTATAAAGATTACAGCTGCCAATTGTCCAAAATTTTAATATAGTAACCAATTAGCTCAGAAAAAAGGCAAAATTTCTCTAACACTTAGAGCCCGCAAATCAGATTCTTCCTCAAACGTTCCCTGGGCTCTCCCACACCCACTTACCACTTGAGTTTTCTTCCAAATTTACCTTCCTTATCCCTAAAGCAAACACTGGCAGCATTTCAGAACATCTCTCTTTTTTTAGTCCTTTGTCCAATCTCCTCCTCCCAGCACCGGGCTTACATCTAGACATTGGCTCAATGAAGTGAGAGCGCTTTCAACACGTTTCCATCCTCAGAAATTTAAAAAACAGGGGAAAAAATAAAAGGTTATTCAGCAATCCCTCACGGTTTGCCTTATTTTCTGTCGGACAGCTTTGTTAAAACACGGACGGCTCTACCTGCTGCTTGTCATGCCTGGGAGTGCCATGCCGAGCTTGTGGCCAGCTGAATCTGAAGCCTTCCTCTCCCTCTTGGCCACAAATTAAAAATTACGCTGTTCCAGAGCCGTAGCAGCCTTATCATCAGCCAACTTGAAACGAGAACTAATGACAGCTATAAATAGAGGAGGATACAGAGAACAGGCAAACCCTCCAGAAGCCTTGGACAATTCGGTGCGCGTTGTGCTGCGGGGGAAGTGAAGTCATACCACATTTCTGGCTGAGCATTACAGATCTGCCCAGGTTTTTCCACATCAGCCTCGAACAGGAACAGCCATCACCTGCATCCTGCAGCCACGCGGTGCTCAGCGCTGGTCACGTTTGCTGGGCTGGAGCTGCAAGTAAAAGCTCTCCTAAGAAGTAAAATGCATCTGCTGGCTCTCCCTCCTTCCTTTCTTTTCCTCTGGCCGGGGTCTGAGTACGGCGTGAGCTCATTTCTGTCCGTGCTGCAGCCCCACCGAACAGATCAGCACTTGCCAGGCTGAGAAATTCGGAGTTCGGGGCTTTGAATTAGATAACGCTTGCACCAAGGCACCTAGCAAGCCAGGCCTGGTATTTGAAAGCCTTGTGCAACTTCTCTTTACGTTCCCGAGGCACTGAGAGGGACGCATGCACGCCGCACCCCCCGAGCAGTTAACAGCAAACAGCTCCAGTAAATTGCACCAGGAAAACCTACGGCTGCGGGTCCCTTTGTACGGAGAGGGCAGGGGTGTTTGCGTTAGGCATCAGTTCCCGGGGAAAGGCTCTTTAGCAACACCAGATCACTGCAGAGCTGTGCTCCAGTGCCTGCGGTTTAGAGGACCGAAGATTTGCCCAGAAGAATCCCGTAGGAGAACCGAGTCCTGCTGAAGCCTGGGCAGTTCCCAAGGAAGAAACGGGGCGCCTCCAGTGCTGCTGGGTTTGCATTTCTTGCAGGCTGCTTTCTGCTACGCCTGCGTCCTAGCTCAAACAGCATTTTGGGCGATTCCCGCTGTTAGAGACAGCGGGGTACGGCTTGTCTGCTATTTCCACTTCATTCTCCCAGCACTGCAGGTTTCCAAACGACTTCTAATGATGGTTCTGCTACCACACCGCAATAACCGTCAGCACTAATTACACCTGGGGGCCGATCCATCCCCCAAGTCAACCTGCAGCCCCGCGGTAAGGCTGAGCTGGCCTGTTCACGGGGTCACACGAGCTTTTGGGAAAGCAGTTTTGTTCCTGCAGCGCTGCTAGGGCAGCCTGCCCCAGCACCTGCTGAAACAACAGCCTTAAAATAATCCGAAGATGCTTGGAGCTCCATTTTAGCTCTGCAGAAGGTCCTTTGCATTTAGGATTATATTGGCGGGTTACAAAGATTATAGGTGTGTAGTAGCCTTTTCTGGCTACTCTGGAGCCTGGAAACCCTTTATTTATTTATTTTTTCCTCCTTTAAGTTCCTTCTGCTTTACAGCGAGAACACCTTTAGCGTTTTCTGTGCATCTGGAAGTTAGGTCTTCACCAACCAAGCCGTTTTGCTGTCCAAACTTCTGGTCAAATTCCCACTGACTTCAGCAGAAACAGGATCCACGGTGGTTTCTTGCATTTAGGCTTCTCTTAGTCATTGCCTAACCACACAGTTTCATAATCATTCCAGGTCCACTGCCACAGAAAAGGATGAAATATTCAGGAGGAAAGGGGAATCTCTTTTTTTGTTTGTACCTTGCTATGATTGCCTTAAATCTTTTTCAAAACAAGGGGCAAAACGTGAATGTAAACCCAAAGGTTGTCAGGGCTCCTGCCTTCTTCCCCTAAAGGCTGCATTTGGAACCGACGGTGCTCTTCGTAGAAGCACATCTTTAATTCAGTTGCCAGCACAGGACATAAACACAAAGAAAACAGCCTCATTCTTTAAAATTAATTAATTTAAAGAGAGCTTTTAGTAGTGGATGAGCAGGGGATGGCCTTTTGAACCGACTATCCTTACTTTTCAACCTACCGCTGGAAACGTTCTGCCCGTTTTTGGGATGCTGCCCAATCCAAAGGTTAGGTTTGCAGAGCTGTTGCAGAGCAGGGCCGCGAAAAGCAGGGCAGCACTTATTTATTTTGGGGGATTGTCTTTGTTTGCTGTGTGTGACACGGCAGAAACTTGTTACCACACCAGAGCTTCAAATGGACGTTAGGGGTTTTCGCGAGGCAGCCCAGCACAAGAGAAGGACCTGCAGGAAAGCAGACGCAGCGGGTCCCATCGCTCCCAGGACCGGCTGCTAAAGGGCCAGGACAGGGCAAGTTTTCACCCTACAGCTCGCCACACCACTGCTCCTCCTGCTCATCCCTTCCTCTACAGCAAAACCCTGGGGTTTTACGGACAAGCAGTGGGGAAGGAGATCAAGAGACCTGGATACACGCGTTGCAGGAACAGGAAGCAATATTTGCCCTACCCAATATTTGCTCGTCCCAATGCTCCTGGCGCTTTGTTTTGAAACGTAAACGTGTTTTCTCTCTCCTTAACGTTTCCTTTCCAACACCACAGGGAACTATTTAGAGGGGGCCTTCTCCCAGTCCTCGCTTTGGATGAAGCACACCCAGGATTTCTGATGCTCCTCTCGGTGGCTTCTCCGTGCCCCGGCCCACCACAGCTGCCCTTTTCTACTCCCTCTCTTACCTGAGCCCACCTTGGCTGAACGGGGTTAACCAGAGAAGACTCCTGGTACATCGTGGCAGCAATATTTCCTCACCGTAACCAGGAATATTCCCTCCAAGGAACAGGGATTATTTTCCATAGGGATTGGGATTATTTTCCACTTCCTTTTCCTTCTCCAAAGCTTCGCCTTGCCCAGCACCACCCTGATTTACCCTGTATGCCAAAAGCCAGCTGCTCCAAGGCACAGACCCACTGGCACACAAAAGCTGGGAGGCTTCTTCGGACTCTCAGTAACCAGAACTACTCCCAAACATAGGGCTAAGTGCAGCTTCCTTTGCCCCTGCTTTCCCCAGATACAGACCACAGCACTTTCTCATTTTCCCCGTTTCCTTCCAGAGGTGCAGCTTTTCAAGGTCAGCAGACGGGATTAAAACACGGGGTCAGGACATTACATAGGATGCATTGTGCATGAGAAACAGTTACCTTCAGGCTAAGCCTTTAAACAGATACACAGACACCACAGCTCTCCTGCAGACACAGGGGAAAAACAGAGTCCACAAAGAAAATGCAAGCTTCCTATAAGAGAGCAGAAACATTTCAGGATGCAATTGCTCCGTGCCTGGTCTTCTTCCACTGGAGCACCTCCTGCAGTTTAATTTTTCCTGTTCCTAATTCGTAGTACCCTCGGCAGCACTTCAGAACATACCATGAAAATTGTGGAAAACTACAGAGAAAGAAGCAGGGAAAGAAAAGCAAGAGAACTTGCATACAGAGCATACTTGTGGGCCCAGGAAACTTGTACCACTGCTGACCAGGCTGTGGTCACAAACTTTTAAAAATCGTTTTCTGCTGACAGTGGGGAAAAACAAGCCTCTCCCTCAATGCCTGTATTTGGGGAATAAAGAAGCCTACAGCAAGTAATGCCCACAGTATCCCACCAAACCTTGGGTTACTCAGGCATTTATTCCTCTTAATCATCCCCTCTTCCCTTCTTCCTATACGCTTTTTCCCGCTAGGGCTTGCATCGGAGAAGGGGACTGGGTCAGTTGTCTTCAGCTGTGAAACTCAATTTGGAAACTTCACTCTCTGCCGGCGAAACAGAACTGAAACATACCAAGGAACAGACAGGAGTGTGCTTGCCAATGCCATACAGGAAATCTCCCAGTAATGAGGAGTTGGGAGAGCGAAGTGCTACCCCTGTCTGCCTGGTTTTCTCTAAGAGCCATGCAAAAAGACAACCCGGGTCAGCCTGGCCCAGCACTTGGATGATACATTAGTCAAAAATGCCATGTCTGCAGACAACCCCAAAGGCCCTACTGTTACTTAAAATCAAGATAAGTAAACAGCGAGATAAACAGCGTGGTTTTACAATAGGGTTCTTCAAACCCGGAGCAAAGCACCAAGACCAGTAGGACTCCCTGAAAACAGGCCAGGCGTGCCATAAAGCACATTCCAGCTCTATTCACAGAAGAGCCTGTCCCTGAGGAGCAAGCCACACGTTTCCCAGCCCACCAGAGATGGCATGGGACTGCAAACGCATGAGATGCCAGTGTCCCCAGGACGTGTGCGTGTGTACATGTGCGAAAGCACGTGGAAAAGTTTTGAGAACTTCACCTTTCTCTTCTCTTCCCACTCTCTCCCAAGATGGGGACCAAGTCCAAAAGCAAAATGGAGAGACCCTGGCCTCCGCAATTGGTTCAGACACTGAAGTCTGGAGTCCATGCAAAGCGTAAGAGCAAAGCTTTTACAACCTCCAAGCAAACTGGGACACAGCTGTACCGGGTGAATGCTTTGCGACTGATGCTCAGACCCACCAGGAAAAAGACTCACAAACTTGTGTGGTTCTGGTACCCTCTGCAACAGATCTGGCACCGCACACAACAAAGAGCTGCAGCTCCTCCCAGTACCCCATCAACACAAAAGAAAATCCTTTTTCTTTTTTTTTTTTTTTTTTCACCCTAGGAACTGCAAAACAAATGAAAGTTAATGTTAGTTTTTACCACTTCTTTCTGACAAAGCGCGCCTTGATGTTAGTTTATACATCAGAAATCAAGCTCTGGCTTCCCTGGTTCTGGAGGATGTGATGGGGAGGTTACATAAGGGTGTAATAGGAGCTGTTACTTCCTTTCCCAGTTGAAGAGAAAAAGCTGTGGATCAGGTTACAGACTCAAGGGCTGGTCATCACTGCTGCAGCCTTCCCAAATTTTGCTAATAATCCTCCAACAAACAAGAGAAGCTGCTTAGATACCTCTGATTTCAACATACAAAGGCTCTGAGAATTTAAAAGACTACATGTATAGCTACTAGGGAAAGAAGAAGGAAAAAAAAAAACACCTTTATTTTTGCATTTCATCAATCTCAGGAAACTCCCCAAGCTTGAAGCGTGCAATCACCCAAGTCGCCGCTTCACATTTCAGTTTGCTCTTCATTAGCACAACAAAAAGGATGAATGAAACAGAAGGCCAGATTTACAGGGCAGCCTGGCACCGCACTGACCACCCGGAGCACACCTCCAGAGGGTTTTTAGGCCGGTTCGTTCACGTTTGTCCCAGCTCCGACCACACTGAGCACGCAGAGGGTGGCCCAGGCCAGCACGAAGCTGTTCCCCAAACCTGCTCCGCTCGCTCTCTCCTCACCTTCCTCCCTGGTTCCCAAGCCACTGCTACTGACTGCTGCCGAAGGGAGATGGGATCAGAACCCAGCAGGAGGAATTTCTGTTCCCACAGAGCTCAGAGAAACCGGATGACCTCAGAGGATCATGTGAAGAAAGTCCACGGCACTTCCACGAGGCAGGACGTCTTCAGTGCATTGCCAGCAGTGGGAAAAATTAATGGCTTGGCTTATGTTTCCAATTTCCCTCTCCCACTTCCTCCTCTCGTTTGCCAGGCTTCATCCTCCCTTCCCCCAGAAGCGATGGCAGGCTGGCCATCCACATCTGCCCTTCTAGAGGCAGCGCAGACGAGGTTTGCAGGGGCTAACACATGGAGGTAAGGCAAACTCCCATGCCCTGCTGTTGGTTTCTCGCTAATTTCCTCCCTACGGATGGGATGGGAAGGGATGGGACGGGATGGACGATGCTTTAATGAGTTCTTTCGCCCTCGCCTTGTGCATGGGGCACCCGATGGTCCTGTGGTGCCCACAGGGAACCCGACCCCTTCACAGCGCCCACCCAACACAGGATCACCGCGGCACACGGAGTGCCACAAGCAGCGATGCCACGACCACGGCACCTCAAGGCAGCACAGGCGAGGCACTGCACTGATGCCCAAAGCCAGCTCTGGAGCCGGGAGCACCCCACGGACGGGCACTGTTAACTTCACGGTGTTTGCCACCCGCCGGCTCCAGCTCCCTTTCCCCAACCCGGCTTTGCTCTCGGGACCTGTCCCCGCCGGCAGCCATTTTACCGCCCCCCAGCCCCGCACGGAGGCTCCCGGCCGCCCCCCCCACACCCCGCTCCCTCCCCGCAGCCCCGGTACCTCCACAGCCAGCGGCTCCCCGGCGCCTCCCGCCCAGCCGCCGGCGGTCGCGGCCCCGCAGCAGCCGCGGGGAGCGGCTCCGCCCCGGCCCGGCCCCAGCCCCAGCCCCGGTCCCGGCCCCAGCCCCGGCCCGGGAGGGGAGGAGGCGCCGCCGCCGCCCCGAGCTCGCAGCGCCGCCCGGCGGCCTCGGCACGGGCAAGGGGCTGCGGGGCCGCCTCGGCCTCGCCCGCTCCTTCCACCCTTTTTTTTTTAAAATCCCTTTTCCTCCAAGCATCAGTGAAAGTTACCTCAGGATTCCCGTTTCTGCGAGCTGCTGCTGTACCAGCGCAGCGCCAGGCACTGCACGCGTCTCACCGAGGTGCCTCAGTTAAAACCATCACCTCACAGGTTAAAATCATCACCAGTCGTTGCGTTGAAAAGGAAAATTTCTGCCTCGGTTGTGAACTTTCTCCACTCACTTCACCCAAAGGAGAGCAAAGCTCATCGCCGCTGCCCGTACAGGCTCCTGGCGCTGCGCCTCAGCAGGGTTAACACGCCACAGCGTGTGCTTCGAGCCTGTTCGACGCGGAGAGTCCTGTAAATAATTGTCCGTCCGTAACAGCTGCTGCTTGGCAGCATTTGTAACGCAGCCTGTATTAAAAAACATCCTCGGGAGGCTGCCTTGTCCTCCAGGCGATGAACCCCAAGTATCCCCCATTGCCCTCTTCCAGCACTCCATCCCCGCCTTGCTCCAGCTCTGCGTGAAAGGCATCTCGTTACCCCTGCTTACTCTGAGGTAATTTAGCGTTGTCACTCTTTATAAAACGTGAATCAGCAGCCCACTGCTACACCTTACACTTTTTGCTTTGTCCTTGCTTAATAAGAAACATTGATCCTGAAAGCTCTTTTTCTTCTTTCCCTAAAGCAAGCCAGTGCAATAGAAAGGTTATCACTGCGCAAACTTGGGCTTTTTTTGTCCTTTTTGCTACATCTGCTGGACTACCACAATCACCGCTGGCACAGCCTGCAGTAAATTAAAAAGGAAAAAAAAATCTGAAAGATGTGCCTGGTCACAGAGGGGGAACCTCCAGGACCAGAGATCGGGGATAATCTGCCCTGTTCAGGAGCACTGCCCTGCTGCACCCCTCAGCAAGCAGTCCCACAGCAGCCTCCTGGTGCTGCTGGCCTTTGGGGAGCATCCTGCAGCCCCCCGGGACATGCCCTCTGCTCTCAAGTGGCTCTCAGCTGGGGTGAGAGCATGGCTCTTGGCAAAACAAAATCCTGCTGGCATTAACGCTGAGGATTTACTTCTTCCCGGTCACTCACCTGCTACTGGGTCTGCCTGGAGATGTGGAGTGCTGCCCTTCTCGCTCTCTTCTCCTCTCTGACCCAAAAACCCATCTGAAATATCTTCCCCCACAGAGACCACATTAACAACAAAGCTTTTGCTTCCCGCAGCAGATTAAACGCTCTCACAAAGCAAGGAAAATGGTACAGCTGTGGCCAGTCCAGCTCACTCTAATTTATGGTACATTTTTGTACCATTTAAATCTGAGCGCACTGCAGGTTACAAACCTTTTCCTGAAAAGCAACAGCAGCCTAGATCTCTTTTTTTTTTTTTTCCCATGCTTTTAAATTCTGTCCTGAAGGGGGACGGATTATAGTTTCTTGATTACAGCCTTAAGGGCTACAGTTTCAGAAGGCAAACAAGTCAGGTACAAAACCAACCAGAAAACTGTCTGTTCCTCAGATTGCAAGGGTGCATCTGTGGAGATTCTGGGTCCCATTTGCACTGACAAACCACAAATCAAGCACGCAGCAGTCCTCAGTTTTATCTACAGCAATATCTGGCAATAAGAAGAGCAGTAGTTAATGCCTAGAGCTATTTCCTAGCCAACCTCACAGAGAAAAGGCACAGAAATGCTGAAGCAGAAACTTTAAAGAACAAAAATAGATCTACTGTGAAACTTAATTTCTACTGTATGTGCAACAAGGCAGCGTAGTGACCCAGTCTCAGCCACGTTCATGGCTCTCCAGTGAGTTACCCTCACTGTAAATGCAGAAATATCTGACACGTTGCTAAGGAAAACTGGATGGGAGGTAGACGTGCTCTCAAACGCATTGAGTTGGTTTAACCACGCATTTAAATACATTCAATAACATAATTAACAGGTCTGTACTTCAGGTAGAATTTTTTAATTTGTAACTTAAAATTACCTTTCAAAAGAAAATAAAATGAGAAAAACACTCGTATTTTCCTTGTTCCTAGGAAAACAATCTTTGTTTTTTTCTAATCTTTATTTCAGATACCAAGGATAGTTACTGATTGACATGATTTATTATTTCATACTCCTTCAGGTATACAATTCTCATATATGGAGAGAGAAACCAACTACGTAAGAACAAGTTATTCCTATTCATAAAGGAGGAAACTGAGTGAGTAAGAGTAACACTCCCTCCTTCCCTGCCCCAACACAGAAAATCCTTGACAGAGCTGACAACACAACTTAGACAAACACATTTTTCATCTCCCTCTTCACCAGAAGACCAAGCTTTGTCACTGTTCCTATGTTCAGTGAGAAAGTTCTAGGATTTTCTAGGACCTTCAGTAGGGTCCAGACCTACCTCCTGAGAGACGAGGTCACCCCAGGAGACATCTCCCCCTGTGTGTTAGCATTAAGCACAGGACAGCATCTGAGATGCAATACTCACGTTTTTTTCAGGCTGCATCAGGCTTGAAATCCCTTTGGTCCTTGACACAAGCTACCAAAGTCTCCAAACTAAGCTCGTACACTTCATGCTAAAGGTCTTGTGATAGCAAAGAATCCCCCTGGTGTGGACGTGGCTCAGCTCCCACCTCCTCACACCACACGCCAGGCTCTATCCAGTGGCTGAGTGCTTCCTGCACACATTTGGGACCCTCACAAAAAGGTGCCCTTGGTCATTGCAAACACTAGGAAGATCTTTACATTAGCACTGTACAAGATCTTTACATGAGCAACGTAGCACTTTACATTTCCTACTGATGGAAAACAAACAAACAAAAAAAAAAAACACTTTTTGGAGACATAGTTGCATGCATCCCTTCACAAAGAGCCTCTGAAGCAAATAATCAAAACCATAACTTAGGGAGGGAAAGGACCCAGTGCTGTGTGAGATTCAGAAGTCCTCAGATTAGGTGGTAGGGGAGAAATCCACATTTTGGAACCACGTAACACTAGGGAGAGGAGTCTCTTTGTGTACTGGAAGACAAACATTACTGGTAAAACAGCTGCACTGCAATCTCCAGGCATACAGTGGAACACAGCCTGAAAATACTTGCAGCAAGATAACTGTGGATGTTCTTGTCCCACTGCACATACTTTTCACAGAACTCTTTGATTTTATAATGTATGGCTGTGGTTCCCCAAGCACAATAGGTGTTGGTTTAATGACAGAGTTGCACTGTGCTGAGATTTCCAGCCACACGTAACATCTGCCTGGGGGGATTCTCCCTCCTACATGTGTATGAACATAGCAAAGACACAGCTTTATGCTTTTTGTGGTCGTCTGTCCTTCAAGACTCTGGTTAAAAGGGAAACATTTTCTTGGATCATGGATATCGGACCAGGACTACTGTTGCAAACAAAAAATTACCCAGCACAGGTGCTGGGATCGAACTGTAGGTATATGCAAACTTCTTTCCAGAATAAAACCAAGCAGATTATACTAATAAATCCCGCACGTCGCATACTGAGGCTTAACAAGTTGCTGCATACTAGGAGTGATCAGTCCTGTGTGGTAGTAGGAAATGATGTGGGATTTCTACAATCCATTTATCCAGATTTCTAATGAGGAGTTATGCTTTGCTATTATTTTTTTCCATTATTAAAAGCAGGTCTGCTATTTCCACTCGAATTTGAAAAAGTGAAAGCTGACAAAAGCTTACAAAAAAAACAACAAAATATCGTGGTAGAAAAGGGGTTGCACAGAAGAATAAAAGCCAATGGAAGCATAAAGAGGATGACCTGGGCCTTTAATAAAAGGCTAGTGATAATCTTTGCACAGACCTTATAAATACTAATACAGGTAATTGCATATGAGGAAATTATTTGGAATGTTTCCTTTAATAATGTACAATTCTCCCACCTTACCTGATTTTCTTAAAGAAGAGGTTAAAAGGGAACTGCCCTTGCAAGTATTAAAACCTTTTTGACTCCACACAAAAGCGCAGGCTGATGAAGAATGCAGTCAAACTCCTTGCTGGCTATTCATAGCACGGTAGAAACACAAAGCAACAAAGAAAGCATGTAAGTAACGGGGAGAAGAGCAGCATGGAAAAATAAATGGCTAAAGAGCCCAGAAACAAAATGTTTCTGGAAGTTCCCTCCTAATCATTTCTGTAAGTCTGAGAGCCTTCCACTTCCCCTGCTTTCTAAAGAAAAGCGATCAGCTTACCTCGGGCACATAAGGACAGTTTTATTTCCAACTTAATTGCAAGAAAAGCCGGCGGAAGGTAACCCAGCTGTGATGGATGTGACTGCACATGCCAGACAGACGTTGCCAGCATCAGAGTTCTTCCTATGTTCCCCAATTGTTAACTACTCACTGGAGATTGAGTGTGTTTTATGTGCAGAGGAATAGCAATTTCTTTGTTCTCCAACTTTATTACAACATAGCGAACTCTTTAGGAGCGCAATTTTTTGCCAACAAGAAGCAAATTAATAACACATGTACGTGGCACATTTCTGCTTCCACCACAGGTGAGTGCAGTGCTTGTAAGAGGTGCGATCTGCAGCCTTCTTACCCCAAGGACCTTGGATCTAGCTCCGGCTACGGCACTGTGAGCCAGCTGCAGCTCTCCTGCAAGAAGTGGGGCTACAGTGGTGTAACCTGTGCCTTGGCCAAAGCTTTAACTCTATCCAAATGGAAACGGAGCAAACATCAGTGCCACTTTCCTGTGCACTGCCTTATTATCTCATCATCAATGCACTTACTCAAGCTGTTACTCTACCTGGTTCAATCCAAGGACTTCATTAAATGCCAGCACAAGACTCTCAAAACACAACTCACATGAAAGCTGCCAGCATTCACAGTGCACAGTTTCACTATTCTCTGTGATTATTACTCTGTGTAACGTATAGATTATCATTTCTACACTGACAAAATGTACACGTTATAATCAAATGTATTTTTGATGTTCAAAGCCTGGTTCAGCCCAGTTCTGCTGCTTCAGAAAGACACTCTGTAAAATCCAGAACAGCTACCTAACAAAGCTCACTATATTCCCAGCACCTGGTAGTTCTTCTGCCCACTTCCAACACGATGCAAAAAAAAGGCATAAGGAGAGCAGGATGTAAACCAAAGCACCACGCCAAGCTGCAAGGAGCTGCAGAGTGCAGGAGCGGTGAGGTTTGCTGTTTCAGGGCCACACATGCACACAGCGGCTCCAAAGGTCCCATATCACGTGCACAAACAGAGATGTTGCGAACAGACACTTGCTAAGCTGGCTGGCTACTTGCTTTAGACAGTCCTGAACAAATAGAAATGGAAACAGTCCGTAGGATGCGTTATCTCTGCAGTAACTAAAGATGTTCGGTTGACTTTGGACTAAATTACCCAACAGCTAACACACAGAAAAAGCAGATGTGAAATAAACTGATTTACTGCTTTAATATAAAATACAAATAGAAAGGGTCCATACGCGACCCTATGGTTTCTGTAATGAGTCCCTGTAAGAAAGCGCAGCTCAGAGAGAGAAAATAGCTAGAAAGCTGCAGTTTCATCTGCATAACTCATCTGTGAGCTCTGCAGCATCCACTTAAGGGATGAATTACTGTTTCTGCCTTAAAAAAAAAAAAAAATAATCAGAGAGGGGTCCCGAGAGAAACAGATCAAAAAGCAACCTTTCCTTCAGCACATCACCCATCCCAGGAGCCAGTGGAAGTCCATAACCTTTGAATTTAGTAGAGCACAAGGCCTGGTCCCCCTGTACATTCAGAAATACTGAGAAGCAGATGAGGAAAAAAGGCGTCTGCTCCTCCTCTCCACCTCATTTGCTTCCTAGGCCTCTGCAAAAAGAATAAGAGCCCAGACTAGTCGAAGCTACTTGCTGTATTGCCTCAAATCTATCAGTTGCATCAGCAAGGACAATGTCAGAAAACCTTTTCCTACAGGGTTCACGATGAGGGTTCCTGCACCAGTACTGTACAGGGAAATGTTCTCTTTAATGGCTGAGCATCACGCTAAGCATGCTGTCAGAGTCAACAACATGCTGGCACGGCCACAGAACTGTTGAAACAGGACAAGAAGCAATGTGAAACACCAACAGCGACGCAGATACTGAGGACACACATGCTACTCAAGCTCTTGGAAAGAACACTCATGTCGAGAGAGTTCCTGTGATTTGATGCAGGGACTTCACATCTGGAAGAAAACACGTTTTCCAAGGTGCCACAGTGCAAGCACTGGGGCTGGTCACTTTATCAACAGAGCACACCAGAAGAGACAGAAAGTCTCCAGAAGGCTGAGTTCTTTTTTTCAAACAAAGCTGGTAGACTTGAAGTAAAACTCGTAGGCTATAATGAATGCTTTTGACTGTAGGGAGAAAAATGAATGGCTTGACTCCAGAAACTGCCTCTGCCTACATATAGAACTAAGTCTGTAGGAGATCCTTATTCAGCGACTTTACTGCAAAAGACATTAATTTACATTTTCTTGTTTAAAGAACAGATAACTTTCTCCATGTGGGAAATTCCTGCAGACCCAGGCTTGGAGGAATGAATGAGCACTGCAAGGAATTTCATACATTGCATACAAACACTGGCGACTGGTGCCACGCTAAGGCCTCAGAGATTATAAGGAAAATGCAGCTTTTTCAGGGCAGAGGCTAGGATATCAATGCCTATTAGTCTGCAGCTGCTCACCTCCTGACAGCATAGCTTGAGATGTATGAGGTCTTAATCAAGCTCAGATGAAAGGAAAGGTTTCTTTTAATTGCTATCAATGTTAATGAACAACTCGGTCTTGTTTAAACATCCAGGCAGCGATATGGGTGAATATCTGAGTTTATCATGTCCTCAATCTTTTGAACAGCTAGGCTTTATTTGCTAAGCAAGGAATGAGCTTACCCTGAAAGGGATTGGCTGAACCTGAGGTCTGGACTTTAGATAACCAAATGTTTGGGATTTGATGCAATTTCGCCTCAGCCACCTTTGCTGAGAGTTTTGGGCTGTCTTTGCAAACTGAGCAACTAATGAAAATTGTCAGTGGCACCTTCAGGTTAAACAGAAATGCACGTTCTCACTCCAAAAGGCTTTTCCTTGGTGGTTCTGTATCTAAAAGATAAAAAGAAACACTGAATCTTTGTGCCAAAAATAAAAATACAAACAGAAATGCTAGTATTAGCTAGGGTTTTGCTAGTTCTTGTGTTCGGAGCAAAGGATTCCAAATTAAAAGCCATAATGGGAAAAAAAAAAAAAAAAAAGAAAAAAAAGAAAAAAAAGTATCACATATCAGTTTTAAATACAAAAACAAAGTCCTTCTTAAAAGCATTGGAAAAATAAGACCCTTTGCCTCTTTTATGGGGTAAACTCGTATCTGCTCATTTTATTCTTTAGTTTATTTGCTTTTGATTATTCCAGCAGCCTACAGCAGCAATAAAAAAAAAGCACAAAGACATTTAATCTAAGACAAAATGTTATCTATGTCTTTTTAATCAGAAGGATGTTTCTACTAACATTAGATTTTTACAAAACCTTTTGATTTTACACTTTTCATATATAGAAACTCAGATCATGCATCAAAATACCTCCTGTGGAATTAGAATAGCCCTGTGTAATTACTAACTAACTGCAACAAGAGTTTTCAAATGCTTACTCACTTGTCTGCTCCATGTACCGTTGCACAAGAGCTTCTCATGAATTTATTAATCATGGACATATCACTGTTGAAATATTCAGTATGTTGCACTGGGGCTTCCTGCTCGTCCCCCCAGGGTAAACTCCTTTCCTATTGCTCTGGCTCACTCAGCTTCTGTATTATTGACTTCTTCAGTAATACTGCAGTTTTATCTTTCAGGTTTTTGAAGAAAAAGTTGCACAGGAAAGGATGAGATACCAACTAACCCATTCAGCTGCCTGCAGAAACAAAGTTCCCTCCTCTGCAAGCAATATTCAACTAGCTCAGGGGTAAGTGCACTCTTACTTGCCAGTGATATTCATTCAGACCCTACATCCTTTCCAGCTAGTGTGGAAGGGTTGCAGCTGCTTCTGCAGCCTCTTAGCCTTTTCAGCTCTCACTGAAATCAAACTTTTGGGAAATTTGGTGGAATTTGTATTCAGCAAAACATCTGTTTTCTGGAAATCACCCTCTAAGACTGGAGCCTTATTGGTACCAGACAGTGGGGGACTTCACCTTTGCAGCTGAATTACTACTTCCTCAGTAGTTTCTAGAATACTTTTGTCTCGATGCTTCAGAAAAAAAATCTAAGTTAAACTTCCTGATCCGCACAGTAGGATCATGTCACTGCTTCACACAGGATTATATTCACCACTGCACTGATATCCAACACAAGAACGTCACCTACCACTTAAATAGCAAAGGTTTCCTCTAGGGGACACAGCTTGCCTGTTAGCAGGAGACCATGATACAGCAGAGGAAACTGCTCTCCTAAAAAGATATTTTCCTAAAGGACCCACAGAAACACAAGCTAAGAGAAAGAAGAAAAGGAACGGCCTGCCCCCAGCTGCCAGCTGGCCTTTTCAACTTCAGCTAGCACCTACAGCAGCTGGAGCCGTGGCTGGGAGCCTCGGGTCACAGCAGGAGGGAGCTTGGCAGTGGCTGCAGAGCCCAGGTTGTCCCCCAGCCCTGCGGTTCTGCTGTGCTTCTGGCCCGCCCGAGTGTGACGAGGGCTGCTTGCTGCAGCTGAAGGCACGATCTGGTCTTCACTCACGACACAGTCCCTCCCTCAGAGCCGGTGATGTGAGGCACACGTACTCTCGTTTTAATACCAAGCAGCTCGTAATTTTAACTAGGGAGACCGTGCACACATATAGCCTTGTCTTGCCAGTAAATAAAAAATTGAGTAACGCTGAACACTGATCTTAGACTTCACATTGTTTCAGTTGTCACTTATTTTAAAGAATAAAAAAAAAAAACTTTTTTAATCTGAAGAGAGGAATCCTACCGATCTGCATGTGTCCCCCATTACCTGTGTTAAGACATCGTGAGCAGCACCTCCACATGATTTTTTTCTTTCTTTGCCAACCAGTTAGCTATAGCTGATTTCAAACGCCACAGTAATCTATGGTAACTCCGTTATTTGCACAAGGGATGTGTCAAATACTGTCTTCTTACACAGCTAGAATATGTGATATTCTCTTTTTTCAGCATACTCTTCCGAAAGAAGGAAGTATTACATATTCCAGCTCCACAGGGTGCCAAACACAGACATCTCCTGAGCAAACAAAATAAGTTACTCATTATAATGTAACTATAAAGACGAGAATATGAGATTACAAGAAAACATCCTCTACGCAGCTATAAACATTAGCTGCAAGGCTTACTATTCACCACCATAACATCTTGCTGCCAGGCTTATCCTGATCCCTTCTTTTCACATTGCTAAAGCAAGCAGATTTCTTTTTTTTCCCCCATCATTATGGAACTTCTGTGTACTGCTTTTGCAGAGAGGAAGGGACACGTAAATGAGTCAGCCACTCGGAGTCAATCAAAACGAACACCAAATCATGTGCTCCTTGTTTTAAGGCCTGACCCACCCCAAAAAACAAACAAACAAACAAACAAAAACTCAGAAGCAAATAGCCCTGAGGAATTTCTGCTTTGGCAGGTCTCGCATGAAGCACTAGCCAAACACATTGCTACTGGCATCCATTCTTGGAAATTTTAAGCCAGAAAAATCATAGCTTGCTTCAGTATAATTAAAACAGACACTCAAAGGGGGGATTGCCAGGCTAAGTTAAGAAATTATACAAAATACATTTTAACAATCAAAATGTCTTGAGCAATCAAGAGAGGGGAAAATAGTATTTCTATGCTTTGAAACTAAATCAGGAAAATTGAAAACATTACACATAGTAGTAATTAGATGACATTTCTCCCTTAGGCCCTAAAACAGTCAAATTGAGACAGTACTGTGCATTAAATCGCATGTTCTGTAGGTCTTAATTTTTGCAAGCCCTGCACCTTCTGCAAGTCTCATGACACTTTGCAAAGAGTTGTAAGCCATCACCCAAGCTCTGCATAAATGCATGCCATTCTCTCCAGAACATCGTTAGCCCTTTTTGATGTCGCTGCTCAGATGGGTGAACTTCACAACTACCAGGAACACGTTATTGGTGTCGTCCACTGTGTGTGCTTCTCTCGAGCTTCTTTATCTTGGTTGTGGAGGGGAAAAAAGCCATTAAGCAATTTAATGATGGGTTAAGGATAGCTCATGTCTAAAACCATTACGGTCATCTCAGCTATTCCTGTCAAGCTCCATATGGCCTCTATAGGAAACAATTACAACTTTACAAGAAAAAGAGTTTCTGCCCAGCTTGTTCAAATTTTAACAGAGTTTGGACATGTCAGTTCATTCTGCTATTTTCAAGTCACTTTCCTCATTTTATAATGACTTTAAAACTCCTTCTGAACAGGGCTATTGTCTCTTGGATGGAGCACCACGTCTGATTTCCATCTGTATTAAATACTCCTTAAGACTCTCTCCAGCCATAGAGACGACCTTCACCGAACAGTGTGAAACTCAGATGGATTAAGGCCCATTGCCAATGCCAGAATGAAGTAAAGGGAGATCATGGGAAGGAAGAGGGTGAGCTATGAGCTATAACCACTGGTTCTACTTTCTTTGTGAATGGCAACTATCCATACAGTGACATTTCATCTATGAATTCATATTTGTTAGCAATATTGAGTAACAGCTTTCTAGTCGTATGTTCTGAATTAGCAAATAGTGCTGTCCTCAAAATGCTGTAGTGAACTTGTGGCAGGGAAGTTAGAGGAATCACAGACTTGCAAGGTTTAGGCATTGCTAACTTGGAGGCAAAGTTAGGGTAACTCAGACCACAGCAGGTTTACTATCACCCTGTGAAGGTCCAGGTGGATAAGACTGTGGGTAAGGTATATAAGATATAGGATACAAGAACTTTATCCAGCCTATCATATTGTTTCTGTACTCCTCAAGATCAATGGTAGAAGCTTCCTACATCCTCTCCTGAAAGAAATCTGGGGGGTGGGGTCACAGGCCAGGTCAATATGTTAAGGTTGTTAAAAGAATGAATGGAGGTATTAACTTACTTCAGATCCAGGATATTCTAAATTGCTTCACTGAATCACATCCAAGTTCTGGCTGCAGACTGAGCTCTGCTCTGCCAGCCACAAAATCCAGAGGCACCAAAAGCTGCTCACGGGCAAGGCTGTCCTCTGCTGCGTGCTTCCAGTGATTACTTTAAAACACAATTTCAATGTACTGAGCAGTCTGGTTTCTAGGAGTTACACAGACTAATTGTTCCACAGGCTACAGCATTTCCTACCTGTCACAGGCAGGTTTGACTTGTCTTCTTACCTTAATTTTGAATAAACAGATAATTATCTTCCTTTTTTTTTTTTTTAAATGTATTTATAGGAAAGCACTGCTTCTTCTATCACTAATATTAAACTGGGAACAAATGCAAATCCAGTGAGCAAGCACAATGTAAAATGACCTTCTACAGCAGATCCAGTTTTTCAGCAAAAGAATAAGAGACACTAGTTTGGGAAGCAAGGATTGGTTTTATGATTAAAATTTATGAGATTAATTCTCTATTTGTCAAAATGAATTTGAACAGCCTTATCATGTATCTTATATAAATGTAACAGGAAAATACCATCACCATTCATCTTTAATTGATTTCTTTCTTTTTCTTTCATGTTGACCAGGTAATTTTTCACATACATAGAAAAACTACACTTGATAATACAGAGTACCAGTACACAGTCTGAAAATCTGGTATCAGGCTATTTCTAGTGATCTCATGGTTCTGCTATGATTCGTGAATATAGAAATCCATTAAAATGCTTTCATTAATCCCCGATGCTTTTACTGTATGCAAAAGGCACGCCGCTTAAATACCAAATTATACAATAGGCTTTACCCTTCTGCCATGCCTCCCTCCTGAGTCTCATTTGCTTAAGGAGGAAAATGAATGACGAATTTGAGCTACGTCAATGAAAAATTTAGAGACAAGTTAGGGCAGAATGTTTTGCAAGAAATGACTACCGTGACTATCGCATTGGAGTGAATAATCAGTATTCTGGAGGCCACAGTTCATCGCCTTTTTATAGGAATGAGAAAGCACACAGCTTGTGGAAAATAGGTTGTGCAGGTTGTGCAACACACCTACAAACTAGTGCAGACAGTTTCATTTACTAAAACCCAGCAATTTGTCTCTATTTCCCCCCAACACTCATTGATTCTCATTTGCATGCGATGTTGCATGATTGCCTTAGCTGTTGTTAGTGTGAAGACAGTCACGGTAAAAATTCATCAAACTAGCAGGTAACAAAACCAGCAACAACAAAATGACACAAACAAATGACAAAAAAAAAAAAAAAAAAGGAAACTTACCAAACCTGCTTTCCTGCTCTCCCCCAAAACAGACCAGCGGTGATGCCTGTCCTGCACAGCTGCTTCTACAGCCCCTGGGACTGGCTCTAGTCGTAAGAAACAAAAGTAGTAACAGAATCGGGCCCTTTAAAAATGAAACATTTCTATGAACGTAAGGATGTGGTTTTCCACCTCCTGAATCTTTTTAGCTACTTTCTGTCAAGTAGCAGTGACCAGATGACTGCAAATATGTGCAATTCATAGGGTCAGTCCCAACTGGTAGCCAACTGCTGCCATTTTCAGGCAGTCTGAAATCGCTTCTGGCTCTCTCCCACCCCCAAATCATTCATTCTTCCCTAACGAAGCACACTGTGGACTTACCCGAAGTTCCTGAGGACACCCGTGACCTGCTAGAGTCAGACAGCTGTTCACAAAGACGTGCATGGGAGATGTGCTGAACCAAAGGAGCCGCTCCTTTGGGATCACAGGGGCCAGGCCAAGCTGTCACCTGTGAGGATTTAACCACTCTGGTTAGAAATCCTGTCCTGTTAGAAAACCAGCGTCTGCACCTGTGAGAGGTTTGTTTACAGGCTTTTTTCCAAACCTAAACTAGCCCCCACCATCTTTTTCTCTTCACCACCACTGAAACTTTTTCCAGACTCTACTGAGCCTTTAAGGAGCACAATCACTACAGCATGTCCTGCGGCATTCAGTGACAAATGTTTTCCTGAACAAAGATGAGTAGATTTATAAATTTAAAAACCGAGCAAGAAAAGTAACTTTTCAGATCGTCTTTTGTGATATAAAATCAATTGTCAGGTTTTGTTTGCTTGTTTTTGTTTCTTAACTTAAGTTTTAAATTGACTGCTACACTGGAAATCCATTTCTTCTTCTCCTTCCCATTGAAAGATGAACTCTTCAACTATTAAATTGTACCCATAGCTGATGGCTTGCTGTGCAGTCCATTTTTAAAAGTGCATGAAAGCGTACTGTAACCAGAATACCCCAAAGCAAAGCTGCCATGCAGAAATCTGACATTGGTACTTGATACGAAAACCACGGAGATCCCTGTATCCATTTACAGTTAATCCCAAGCTTGCTCGCAGGGGCTCAGGTCACTTTTTAATGGCCTCTGACAGCTGCACACACGCACAGCGCCTTCCCCAAAGCACCACACAACCCCACGTACCACATCCTTCTACACGGATAAACCACGCCCTTGCTTCATAAGATTGGGAGCCTTCTGCACAATTGAAATTCTGTATTAGTTAAGAAAAGGGAGGATATCACAAGTCCCTCTAGCAGAGACATCATTGCTGGGGGAAGGACAGGCAGGTTAGGAAAACAACAGCCCTGCCTGCAGGTCGCTTCCTCCTCTGAGGGTCTCCTGGACATCTCACCCTGCCTACGACATTCAGTGATTTCTTGGTGAAGGCTCAGCGTCCACCTTTAAGCACCTTTATCGCTGAGAAGTTCCACACATCTAAAACCACCAGAGTACATCTTCTCTCTGTTTAAGGGATCGACACTTAATTTTGCAAGAACTTGTATTTTTGGCATCGATGTCCACATAGAAAATCCAGTAGAAGTCGCCCTCTGCAAATGACATCTGGTGACATTTGTCACAATCTCTTCCCAAATCTCTTTTCCCCTGTGAGGCCTTGCTGTTGTATCTAGTTGGCTCCAGGCTACAAGACCCTGCCATGATGATCTAATACCAGACATAAATTAGCTAATTTCTTAAACTCCTTTTACTTAAACTACGGCTTCCTAAGTCACTCCAGAGACCTGGCTAAGCTGAGAGTAGCTGAAGGGACATGCAATAAAAGAAGCACTAACAAAATTATTCGACACCTTAAAAAATAAGCTCTACTTCAGTGTTAATTTCTGCGTTGTGCAAACCACGCACACGACTGACCCGTTTTGAGCCAAGTATTACAAATCTAAGAGGCATCAGCACCACAAGAGTTAAGAGCGTGTGCTATTCTTTCCTGGTGGGAATAGGTCAGGAAGAAGAAATAGTAGGAATAGGATCCTTTACAGTGATTTCAGTTTTTATTAACATATTTTTACAGGATATCCCAGTTAAGCCAGACAGCTTGTTTACAATAGGGCCCTGTCTAAGGACAGCTTAAAAGTATTACACAGTACATACAGAAGGACAATACGGTCCCAGTACAAGCTCCCAGCAGGCAGTAAATCATTTCAAAGCTTCATGTTACACCTGATTAACTACTTGGCTCCAGTATTACAACCTATTCCAAGAATGCCTGCTTCAGTGTCGTGAAAAGTTGTCAGGGAATTTATGTCATCTGATGGCGAGTTACATAAAATAATGCCCCAGTGTACCATTGAAGAGGCATTGCTAGGCACGAGCTGAAGGAGCATGCACTTCACACCTGCAGGATCCTCTGGTGCTACCTGCTCCTTAAGAAGGGACTCCACGTCAAGCTCTCCTTTATGAGGAGAAACCACATCATTTTGGTCCCAACAGGATCACCTAAGCCTGGATGACAACTCTATCTGAATTCCACTTCATCACACACATCCACAATTTGATCACTCACGAGTCAGTCCATCCTCTCACGTGGTTGCTGCAATTGAATAAATTTTCCCTGCAATTTTTCTTGATTCTGAAAAATGACTTAAAAATACGTATCCTCAAAAAATCGACACACTCAACATTTTTCACTAAGCACACAAGCCTGCTAGTGGACCAAACAGTGAAATCTTTACACTACCTGAACACAAAGGAAACGCTGTTTCTCCGAGGTTCAAAATCAGTTCAGGCACCAAAGAGGCAAATTCCTAAAACTTCCTAAGGTCCACGGCCTGCGTTGCCTGTCAAATATGCAAGGTGCTATGAAAACCAGGTAACAACCCTCACCAAGTCTTCATTTATCCAACTGTCGGGCAGAAAGACCTATAGCATTAACTGAGTGAGATGCAATGCATCTTGGCCAAGAGTTAGAGTACGGTAAGCCAGCAAAAGAGCTGCTTAATTGTAAAATCCATTAGCTCTGGCTCTACGTGTGCAGCTTCTTCTAGAGCCATGCAGGAATTTAGACAGCAGAAAGCTGGAGATCAGTTTTAGCAGAAACACCCGGTATGCACACCCATGAACAAACCAAGCTTTTCTACAGCATCCTTCCCTCTTGGTCAGCTGGAAATCTGAAGTCTTTTTAAAGATGAACTGATCACCACCTGTTTCTTTAAACTACAATCTCATAATTAGTATCTTCTAATTATTAGAAAATGCAAGTGATACTTCAAGCTTTACCCTTGATTTCATGTACTGGTGAGTTTGTTTGCACTTAAGTCTCTGTGCAGGAAACTAAGAGCATAGCAAAGGAACCAATTTCTTGCCTTTAGCATACTGCAACCCACGGTAGGCTGAGCACCTGAATTCTCCCTCTTGCTTACTGAGCGAGGCAATTTCTTATTCTAAGTTATATCACAGATCACAGTAAAACCCTGTCTTCTATAATTGAACAAGGAGCATAATTAAAATACGAACAGGTCTTCTAAAAATAACAGCAGAACAGCCATCTCTGGGCTGCAAACCTATTTGTCTGCCTTCCTCCTATATCATAATAGCATTTCCACAGCAACAGCTATCACAAGAAGTGTTATTGATGAACGGAAAGCCTGTTATTCAATCACCTTTTCCTGGAAGAGGACAACAGAAAGTCCTTCTGGTTTTTAGTATGGAGTAAGTCCCAAACTAAATACTAAGGTGACGGCAAAAGAGGTGCGCAAAATATATTAGGAATCCTGGCACTGAAATGAAGATCTTGCTTGTGGCTAGGAGTCATGCTGACTGCTCAGCAGAGGTCACACCACAGAGGCACAGCTAGGTCTGGGAGGAGCACACCAGTTGCCACAGACATTCAGTTTCCCTTTGCAGAGCTCAGCGTCTCGAGGAGCCTTGATCCTTGCAGATTTGAGCTAAACATTTTAATCAGCTCTGTTTGGGGGTATATAAAATTAGTAAACTCAGTTTATACCCAACTCAATATCTTCAACTGATTATGTGTAATGGCAAGAAGAATCAGAGGTTTAGCCTAAACTACGGTAATTTCAGCCCTTCAAAGGTCCAGCTGCAACTTAAAAAGCTGTGAGTGGATCTAGCTGTATTCATTGCCTTGCCCAATTCCCTGTGAGCACAGAAGTGGAAGCAGTGATATCTGCCTCTACAGACTTGGTGACTAAGTGCAGGTATTACTTACAGGTAATTTTCTTTTCCTGGTCTTGCAAGTCTTTGCCCAGAGCACCAAATACCAAAGCCATGATGTCTTAACACCACCTTTCCTGTCGAGCTGTGCTCCACCATTTCACCACGGCCTCCTTCCAAGTACTGTGCCCGTGGTAATTCGGTCCGCGAGAGGAGTCTGTAAGACAAAATTGAACGGAAAGTGCTGCACTCCTCTTATAATCGATCCGTGCAATTTCTAAATTGACTTTGAAAAATACACCAAATATACCCAGGGGAAATAAGCTTACAATGCGGATTGCTGCCTAAATCCATTATACAGATAGCACAGCGCATTTATTGTTGCGATGATTGAAAAGAAATGAGATTAGCAGGCTTCGCATAACATATTTAGTAAATCCAGCACTTCCCCTTCCACAACAGAGAGCTTAACATCGCCTAGAATTATAAACAGAGTACCGTATATCTTGGTTTTCCTAATTTTGAATTCCCTGCTGAACAGCTCTGTACACACACAGGACACGTGCCTAGAGTAGATGGGTAACCACTACCCTCATTTGGACGTACCAGCAGATTTGTGACTTATTTCACTGCGCGGATTTGGAAGAAGTGATTCTACTTCCAACAGGACTGCCTCCTCAGAAAAAGGCACGGACGCTCAAGAGAAGTACAGAAAGATAAGTGACATGTTCCTGTGCCAGTATGATCAGGCTACATCCATTCTTGCTGGGGAACAACATAAAGCTGGTAAGGGAGCTCAGGGTGTCTCAAGGCCAGGGACCTAGGAGGGAACTGTTTGAACACAAGGCAAGCCCCAAAACCCTGACAAGTTTTCTCTAACTTTGACAAAAGTCTAGAGTGTAACTATGGCACCTTTCTAGGTGAGTGAGAAAGCACAGTCTGATGAAGCCTGAAACAATCAGCTTTTGTTTTTCCCAATATTTCCCTTACATTAAGCGTTCACATGATAGCTGTTACACCTAAGCAGCACGGTGGCGAGTTTTAGCATGTACTCTGAAAGGGTATTTTACTACCTTCAAATAAGAAGCAGGATGAAATATCAGAGATATTAGCCCTGATTGTATTATTCCTCTACTGAAACTACACCTACAGTATTTCAGCAAGACAACAGTTTGCACTTGCATCATCTTTTCCCTTATTAAAACAAAACAAAAAAAACACACGTACAACTTGACCAGTGTTTTTACAAGCAACTCTTGCTCAATTAAAATGATATATCCAACAGATTTATGATACACCCTGTTTTGTCATGAAAGTATTTAATTCCATTTGATGAGTGTACGTAGGTGTCTGTTCATGAGTGAACTCCTGCTTTAAATTCGTGTTCCAGAGATATTTTATATATAGGCAAGGGCAACAGGGAGGAAGCAGGAAAAGCTGAAATGTTTTTTGTAAAAATTTCACAGAAGAGATTAAGAAGGTTAGGGACAAGAAAAGAGCTTACTTCAACACTCGTCTTAGAAGGATTTTAATCCATATTTTTTGTATGTTTTATCTTTTTAAGGCTTGAAGTCCATGTGCCACAGAAGCACAGAGTAGAAACTACGGTGTGAACACAAAAACAACAGCAAGTAAAAAATCTGTAAGGTTTTCTCGTAGTTACTTATATGCCTGTAAACAACTAATGTGAACATTTCTAGTACGAAACCTCCCACATTACACCTAACAGTAACTGGCTGGAGTGGTCTCACCAGTATTTCCTTGGTTTGCTACATATCACATCCCTACCCGTGAATGTCAGCAGAAATACAGGTTGTCACAGGACTCTCATACCTAGCTGCACAGCCAAAAAAAAAAAAAAAAAAAAAAAGAAAAAGTAACAGGGAAACAGCAAAATGAAGATGGAAAGAACCAAAGATGACAGGTAAGACTGAGGTGATCTTTAAAGTGACCAGTACTGTACCTGATGTCCATAGTTATGTAAATCGTGATGGTTTTAGTAACACCACCTACTTGAACAAAGTTAGATACAGTAATTCTAATTAAAAATAATTCTATTTATACCATAGCCCCCCTATTAACAAAAGCAATGCCTGTGCCCTCACAATAGGATTCACATCTGAAAGCACAAGCACTTTGCAAGCAGGACGTAACTATTTGTGTGTTACAGATGGGGAAACAGAGGCACAGAAAGCAAAACTTGTCGCTCTTCTGGGCTTTGCCACACACACACCGAGCAGGAGAAGCAGCCGAGCAACGTGACTACTGTTTCAAATGCTGGTCATTGTTCCGCTGTCATCTTCTATTCCTCCTTCTACATTTCTAGTGCTCACCAACAGCACGCCCGTTTACCTCCAAATAATCAGCGCTTTGGGTGAGAGCTGCAGGCAATGTTCAGCAAGATTAAGTCAGAGCCCCTAAGCATCACTGCTATGCACACAACCACAGCAGCACCAGCCCTAACGCTGGCTGTGGGCTGAGTGGGAATGAACGATTGCAAGAGGGGATTTTTATTGTAATAAGGCTCGTTACGTATTACTGTGATACTCCTATTTTGCATAGTCTTGCACAAACTCACCCACCCTAAAGCATGTAAGTGGTCATCATGTTTTTCTCCTGGTCAAGCAAGTGGAGCTATTTGAGACTAAGACAGGCAAAAAACTTAAAATGATAAAAAATGAACCATAATGAGAAAAGTCTCTTGGATGACAATACCAAAATGCTGAAGCAGACTCCAGAACAAATAAAACATGAGGAAACACTGCTGTGATCTGGCAGGTACCATGCCACACAAACCTGAACCAAGTGGGTTTCCACTGTTTGACTCTGGACTTTGCTCCTGGGCCACAAGAAGTGCCTTTTCCAGCCAGCACTCATTTCTACGTTGGTGAACTCAGGCAACAAAAGCTCCATTGCTTGAAAACAAAAGCATTCACGCTATTCAGATGTGACCGCCTCCAAGTCACCACACACCTCCCGCAACAGTACATCACCTCCTGTCATCTGAGAGCCTCAGTAAACCTATCAGTGCTTGTATCTTCAGACAGATGAAACAGGAAAAAAATAAATAAATCAGAGAGTGGTATGCTTTACTGTCCCCAGTCTGCTGAATTTGGGAATTCCCTTCATAGTTTTTCCCCCTCTGAATGCTAACAGACGTGTCACAAAGACCACGGATACCCAGATTTATACAGGATCAAGAGAAACCAAAAAAAGGAATTGGCCAAGTAACGTAAGGGCGCTTGTTTTCAGCAGATCTGCAAAACATTACATGAACTGGTTCTTGCCATCTTCAAATAAGCAAAGAAGTCTGAGTTCTCCAAAAACGCACGAGTTGCCCTATGGTTCTGCTCAGTTTTCTGCTGAAGATGCCTACCATACAGGAGGATTTACAGCAGAGGTGCCCCTCGGCTGTGCCACCTCTCCCAGCAAAAGGGGAGCGTGACACACGGCTTACGCCAAAACCCCTCCGCTGCCTGCTTTTTTATAGGGCTTCAAGGGAACAAGCTGCAAACCGGGTCCTGAGCTACAGCCTTCAATAGCATCCCACCTTCCAGCATGGATCTGACCGCTCTGTGTTCAAAGACAGCTTCATGTTCTTTCCTTAGCAGCAGCAGCTCTCACTATCTATACTTACATAGGTATATATATAGAGAGAGATGGCTTGTACAACAAAGTCTGAAAAAATATACCACAAAAGATGTTAGCACGAGTTGAACTGAGAACTTCTTGCTCTGTTCTCAGAGGAATCCGTGGTTTCTTTCTGACAGGAGGTAATGCTAGTGGTGCGGGTTATCTGTGCCGCTGCAGCTACCGGAGCAGCGCTTCTCAGCCTCTGGGTCAAAGTAGGTCATAAACCCCTCGCAGCGGTTTGCAAAACAACCCGTACACCAAGTCAGATTTTCAAAAAGTAAGCATGCACTTGTAGGTATGGGAAGAACTAAACAGAAACCAGCACTGGAAAAATTATGGTAATTCAAAAGCTTTTCGTTTACATGCCAAAAACTGTAGGCAAAGTACTGTGGCAGCACTCCCCAATGCATCTGTGATGCCTTTTTTTTTTTTTTTTTCCCCAAAGGAGCTTCACAATGCCCAAATTTCTTCCAACATGTTTAAGAAGACATTTGATTTAGCAAAAAACACGCCTGAGAAGCACTGATCTAGATGGCCTCATCTCACCCTCAGGGTGCCCTGACTGGGCGTCTAATAGTCCCAGATTCTCACCAGACAGATCGTGGGGATCATAAACCAGAGGTGAGAAGAGGAAAGTTGGATATCATGGATTTCCACCCATGCTGGTTTTAGGATCAGTGACGCAATCTGTTCAAAGAGCAACTCTTCATTCCACATTCAAAACGTTGAGAGATGTGAAAAAAACCTATCATTAAATAATAAAAGCGAAAAGTGAGTCAGAGAACATTAGAAAAAAAAAAAGTGATTTGTGGCTCGTATTTTAAGAGCACCTCATTTATGATTCAAGACAAGATCGTAAACACACTTAAGACAAAATTTGGGTGGCACTGGGGAGCCAGGCTAAGGAGCGCAGCCCTTGGAAGTGCTGAGTACTTTCTCCCACAGCTGACGCTGCGCCACCTCACCCTGAGCAGGAACGAAAGCACGAACTGGCCCAACCACAAGGGCCCCAGCTCTTGCTGGGAAGGCTGTGACTCCTGCTCCACGTACACCAGACGTGGTAACTGCTTCGCACGCAGCACAACGCCCTTGGACTCTGTCGACGGGGCGCCTGAATAAGCAGGCCCCAGTGAATCAGCACGCTTTCTCCCTGAGCCTCGCATCTGTTGCTCCAGGAGAAAGAGGAGAACGCACTCCCCACCCCACAGGAGCCTCAGCAGCAGCAAAGCACCTACGGGGAAGGCGTGAGATGCGGGTTTGAAGGACCTCAGGCTGAAGAAAGAATTGAGCTTTGGTTTGACCTATGTCCTTCGGTGGCCACAGGCTGCTTTTGTCTTCACTAATATTTCCCCCGATGTTAGCAAGCTCCAGAAACCACCTTTCTCCTTGTGAAGACAACGAAGTAAAGCACGTTTTGATCATACCAACACAACAACTTCCTGTGCTAATTTCACACAGGGTCTTCAGCTCTCATTTTTGACTCTCGCACCACCAAATGCTTCCATTGCCTCCTAGTGAAAATAAGCTTGTTTTGACTTCTGGCGTGAACCAATCATACTGAAAATTGAGTCATACTGAGAATTTTGAAACAAGCTAGGAAAAAAAAAAGTAAACTTGGAAAATTCAGAAATGATAATGATTTTCAAAATAAATCCAGTATCATTATATGCTCATCCATCTCTCTCCTCCTTCCCCACCACCATAGGAATTGCACTAAGTGAGGGACATGACAGCCTGCAATTAACCTTCCCCTACATAGCAGGGGCCCTTACAGTGTGCTAAGCAGCTGAGAAAAATAAATAAATAAATAAATGAAAAACTGAGCCCCAGCTATTTGTTACAGGAGGCTTAAGATGAATAAAAGGATCAAAGCAAATAACACTTTCAGACAGCCTAGAAGGAAAACAATGAGCCCATAATGGGCACATGATTGCCATCCTCCTCGTGATATCCAACAACACAATTAAGGTCAACTGTACAACCGCTTCCAATTTGTTTTTTTCTTATTGCCTAGCCAAGGAGAAAACAGACATCAGTTCTGAAGATGTGTGTTTTCTTATATAAACAGAATAAATAGATAAGGAGGTTCAGAGAGTAGTATAAATCAAGAGGTTCTTTTGGCACCATCAGAGTTAAAAACTCCAACTTTAATATGGAATATTTCAAATATTATCAAGCAGAAATAATCAAACTTTGGTTTAATTGCTCCCTTTGTGAAAGGACTTTATTAAATTAATTAACCAAGTTATCTTCCCTGAGTATGATCCATTACTAATTCTAAAATTATTGATCTTTGTATTTGGAAGTCGCTGTTCAGCACCAAATTGCTTTCTGCAATTAGCATATACTAGCAAGCTTAATAAAACTCAAGGACTCCTCTAAGGTCCTAAGAGACTGTAAAATGAAAATATTCTTAAGTATGCTCAGAAATTACCATTATGCATAGTCATCTTGATCCTGGGTAGGGAAGGCAGTAAGAACTTAAGTAACTATTGACAGCATGAGTCCCAAGTGAGCTTACTATGAAAAATTCTCCTTTCTCTTGTCAACACTGCCTTTCATGCTAATCAAGTTGCACTACCAAGACATTCTCCTTTTTGCCCTCCAAGTTACATCTCACAGGAACATGCATACAGAAACGCAGCATTGCCCAAATCACATTAATATTGTATTCCTTTCTCACACTCTGCTTCGGAAAACAGTAATCACAAAGTCCTCAACTTCTGTGCAAACAAGAGTGATCATCACCAATTGACAAGAAAGCTGTTGTATGGAATAAGAAAAAAGCTTCCCGAGATGCCACAGACTTCACTAAATGTAAAAGTCCACTAAAATGCTACTACTTGAATTCCTAAAAATCTACAGAAGTCAAAACCAAAAAAGGAAACCTGACTTTAAAGTGACTGAGGAAAAGCAAAAGTTAATCTTGCATGAAATCATTTAGGAGATGGAAGGGTTAAAGCAATCTTATACATATTAAATTAAAATTAATTATATTCCCAGCTCAGTGGAAGCCAATTTCAATTTTCTGTAGTTCCTGACTTGTCACTATTATCTACATAACCAGTTAATTTTGATTTTTTTTTTCTAGCTGGTATGATTTTGAATTTGGGTAAGATATGTATTTTTACTTCAGACAGATGTATACATCTGCACATATGGCTTATTCATTACTGGAAGCTGGAAAACAAAGATTTTCAGCAATTGATAACCAACAACAAAACAACAACAAACTTTTTTCTAAGCATAACAATCATTCTTTTAGCTACACACAAACAGAGCTAAGAGATCTCGTGCACAGCTTGTTAGAACATGCAACTTCAGGACAACGTTGCTGTCTTTTCCTCCAAACAGAGGACAGTAAGGGATGTGACCTGCACGCATGACTTCTGATTTATGCTGTGCTGACGGGGAGGAACCACACTGCCAGCAAGACAATTTCTCATGATTACAGTGTTTACTAGTCTCGCTGAGACTAGAAGTCCTTGTTCTGAATACAAGAAAAACTGTGAAGAGTTCAGATCCAAGACATAAAGCATGTACAGCATGTCCAAGCTAAATGTCTCCTTTATGTAAAAGATAGATGACACGCTCTAATTAAAGGTTAGTCAAGGAGTGTAATGACCAGAGGCCAAACACAAGAGTTTAAAATCTTGATTACAGGTTGGGCCAACAGATCAAAGCAACAAATTGTCTCAGTATTCCTAGAAACAACTTTGTGAACTTTTGATTAGAAGATTACCATGTCCAGGAATTACTTCTCCATTGCTTGAGACTTTTTCTTCCCTTTCAATAGCCCACACAATTTAGACGCTTGCTTCTTACTCGCCTACTTTTACTGGTGCTAAAACACCCACCAAGGGGAACAAAACCTTGTGCAGCAATGATTAAATTTGACCTACCACACTCAACGAGGGCTTGAACCTTTCGCTGGCCAGTTCCCACCCATGCTCCTAGCCACCTCCAGCCGAGGGCTGCAGCCTCACCACGCTGTTGTGCCTGGATGTCCCTCACGAAACTCCCTCTCACCCCAGGGCTGCCCCAGGCTTTTTACCTCTGTCCCTCCGCTCCACACCTGCCTGTCTGGCCCCACAGCTGTCCCCATTTTAGGCCATCATCCTGCCTTCCCCATAGCATGTGCCACAGAGCGGGGCAGGGATGGAGGACCCCTCTTCCCAAACACCGATCTCTCCAAACCTCATGTGAGGAGCAGCCTCTCATTACCCTAGTTTTGGGGAATGACACTTACCTGATTCTTTTTCTCACCGGCTCTTGAAGCAAACCTGAATAGATACTGGCAGCAGATAGCAAGCAGCACAACATTATCTTAATAGCAACCGCTCCATCATAAAGCTGCTTTTCTAGGTTAGTGGAGAGGGCCAAGCAAAAATCAGAGGGACTGGATCCCTGTTACTCTTTTATTTACTGCGATGGCATGAGCTACCTGTCTTCTGACCATTATGGATATCGGTTCTGAAAGGATGCTTAGAAAATAAGTACTTAATCCAAAAGGAAAATAAATAGCCATCAATATTTATTTAAAGGATAAAGAAAAAGTGTGGTGCAATAGTTCCCCCTACTGACAGCCTGAAATTAAATTACTAATAAATGTTATTTCCTGGGCGGTCCTCACATTGCTGAGTGTCCCAGTGTTGCACCTACACGAGCCTACTGGTACACCATAAACCACGTAAAAATCAGTCACCTTAGAAAACTATGAAGATTTCCCAAATGGTAGAGAAACAAATCTGAGAAAACGCCAGTAGATCCCTCAGATCATTCATCACGTATGCAAAAGGGCAGTACGCAGTCTCACAGAAAGAGGATTATAACACGTGTGTGAATGTGTGTACTCTGAATGAGACTGCTGGGATGTCCATGAGCAAAAAAACAGGAGCACAGGTAAAGTGCTGCTGTGTCTCCTCCTCTGTGTGTGACACATTTGGGTCTGAGCATGGCACTTGTCAAACTGAAAATGCTAATGTGGTTTTGTACACTGATTATTTAATAAAATCCTAAAGAAAATGCTCCAGTACGTTATAGCTTCATCTCACTTGAAAAAGATAATGGACAAATATGCAACGGTACAAGACGAAAGGACATTAAATACAGAGACTGCAGAAGTACGCACTTCTATAAATCAGGATTTTGCAGAGGTCTGTTATGATCCTGGCTCTCAAAATGCAAATGCACATGAAAAAAATTCTAAATGCTATTAAAAAAAAAAAAGCCTGATCTCATTTCAAGCGCATGTATGGTGAAGATGACGTCTACCAGCAGATCTGGAAGTTACCTATGTATCAGAGAGTCTCACATCACTTTCAATTCTCCCTCTGCTCTGTCTGGAAAATGTAATTACACATCAGCAGTGACACGCACCTTCCTTTTAACTACATCTCCCGCACCTGGCTTTCTCACTTGCACGAGGTTTCATGTTCCTCCAGCCCAGCGCCTAACACTGCTCCAGCAGCTCACTGGCACTTCCCGAGAGCACGCCTTTTGTTCACTGCTTGTACAGCCTGGCACGGAGAAGCCTTGCTCCTGACTGGGGTTTCTGGTAACACACGATGTTACAAATAAAATAATAATTGCCCAAAGGAAGCCTCTTTAGGGCAGACTGCAGCTGCTTTGTGTGACATCAAAGACTCGATCCTACCATTCAAGCTCTGTGCTGAGGTAAGACAGATTTGAAATTGTCCTAATTTAGCATTTGCCATTTGCTTTGGTTTTAGCAACGATGCACCTGACGTTACAGAGATCCATTTTCCAATAATGTATTTAGAGAAAAAATAATACTCGGAGCATGCCTGTTGTCATAACCCTGTCATAATGATATTTACTGATCCGGGTGGTGTCAGGCTGTTAACCCTTTAGGACAGGGACCGAGCCTTTTATCTGAGGCGCTGCCTGAAACGAGCAGCACGGGCAGCCACTGCAGGAAGTGGCAGCACAGTAGCATTTCCACGCTGTTCCTCCAAACTCCTCTCAGGGCTGTCCTCAGCCTTTTAACGAGCGCTAATTGCAAAAGCTGGCTAGCGAAGCTCCCGTGCCAGAAAGCTGCTGGCCCCCTGATCCCGGTGGAGAGGGAGCAGCCTGGCTCCCTGGGAGCGCGACAGGCCGCAGCCCTCTGCCTTCCACACAGGCTCGGGCGCCACAGTATAAACTGGAGATTTTTTTTAATTTTTGGCTCAATAACCTCCTTCTGGCCATTTCCTAAGTGCCAGAGCCGTGTCACACCAGCTGACCCAGCGCGGCGCGGTGACTGCTGCGTGGCCACGCTGCTCGCCGTGTTTCGTAGCCCAGACACGACTCTCGCTCCCGTCCCGCTCCCCGGGGCGGCGAGGGCGCAGCTGACGCACAGGAAAAGCTGCCGGGACGGGGCTGGGGCGGCATAAAGCACGGGGCAAGGCGGCAGACACGCCTGGGGACGCCGCCTGCAGCAGGGCTCGGCTGGGGAGCGCTCGCACAGGCAAGTGGGGGCATCCTGGGGGGGGGCTCCGTCTGGTCGTCTGTCCCGCTGTCCATCCACCCCAAGCACATCTTCGAAAGGCCTCGTGCCCGGGGGATGCGGGCTGCTGAAGGCAGCGAATGGAGGGGTGCCTTTTACTTCACTCCGGGGGGCTCTTGCCCCCCAGCTGGGCCAGTAGCAGGCTCACGGGCCTGGGGGTCCCCACCACCAGGGGTAAGCGGGGCACCCAGCTCCTCAAGCGGCCTCCATGCCGCTCTGTCAGGGCACAAATGTGGAGTTTCTCTGCCAGAGAGACTGCGGGGAGCACACCTTGCATCGGTACAGATCATAGATCCAGATACAGGCTGACAGATAAAAGCAGAAGTACCTGAACGAGCACCTCGCAGCACAAAAAGTGAAAGAGTTGCGCTACCAATCTTTCACGTTGTGCATTTCTGCTAGATGCCTTCAGGGAAGATCCAAAACAAACAACAGGTATAGGGAGCTTTTTAGCTTGCGGTGTGACTCCCAGGAAGAGGAGAAGATAGGACAGGGTGTGTTGTACTAAACGTGTTACAAAAATCCCTTGTACGAACCAGACTCATCCTTTGCCAGCATGGATGCATGCGAGCATCCCTGCACATTACTTAGAAGGCCTCAGGAGGCTGCAGCCTGCACAAGGTCTGGCTTCTTTTCCTTTAGATAACAATACTAGGTTCTTACTAAGATCCTTAGGATAGCACAGCCACCATAATTCACAATTATGGAATTGCAATAAAAACCCTCACTGAAAGTGAGCAGGCTTGCAAATCTTACCTTTCTTTTTTTCCTGAATGTGTGCTATTACTACATCATGATTTTGTTTTCTGTACGTATCTCCAGAAATACAGCCTGTGATTCCTAGTAATTACCAGTGTAGCAATAAAGAGAGGAAAGCACTCCTGTATATTGTTCTTGCTCAGCAATTTAAATAAACAAAGTAAATGTTTGGGCAGTATTTTTCCTCTCGTTAATGGAAGTAATAAAGAGGAGGGAAATGGCACTGGGCACATTTCCACAGACGGTAGGCAGCGTCCTTCATAACGCACACGGAGTCATCGCATCCAGCCTTAGTTAGCGAGAAACTAAAGCTTGTCACTTTTACTTTTCATGAGTAAGTACTTGAGGCTGTTACACCTTGAGATACTTCATCCTTCTGTTGTTCTTTTTTCCTTCTGACTTAAGCAACATAAAAAAACGCACAATATTCAAGATGTATTCTTTGAAACGATGATGTTACGATTCATAAATGGAAATGGGAAAGCTGTTTATAAAAAGGTCAACATTTTATAAAAAATGTCAATTTTGATGAAATCTCATCTTTCTTTTCGGGAAAAAAATCTATCAGAAGTGTTCAAACATAACACTGACCTACTGCAATGCAATCTTTAATCCATGGTGCTGGATTTTATGTCGTTTGTTAGCACCAACAAAGATAATAAAGGAGCAGATGATCTCTGGTACAGGATCAGGGTAGGGCGGAGTTCACATGAGGGCCAAGATACCAAGGCATGCCCTAGGGTGTCCCCCTTATCTACTTACCCATAATGGCCCATTACCAACACTGCTTCAGATTTTTCCTGCAGACACCACATCTAGAATGACAACCTGGCATAGTCTGCCCCGCGGCAATGTTTTATCTCTCTGTGCGATACAGAAGTACATCTGTTTATCTCAGTGCATCCCTCAGTACTACAGAGAAGATCTGATAGTGCTGGAAGGACCTGGAGGTATAGGCATGAGCGCTGACACAAGCACACTGCCAGTGGTACCCTTCAGAGCAACCTTCAGGCTTCTTTAGTGCACTGTGGGTTAAGGCAGCAAACCAGTTTCTACTTTTTTCATTTGAGCTTATTCCCCTTCTGCTTTTGGCCAGGCTTTTCAGCAGAAAAATAAATAAATAAATAATAAATCACAATGAAATTACTGTTTTCACCAGTTGGATTAATGATGATGTGGTGCAACCCTAGAGCACAAAGAGGTCATGTTCACCCAAGTGGAGAAAGAGTCACAGAAGCTGAGATATCTACTTTGAGAGTCTGCTAACCCCAAACAATCACTTTAGTCCACAGAGAGGTGGATATTCAAAGACAACTCAACCCACCTAAAATCTGGAACAACCAAGCTTCTGTCTCTAATATGTCAGTAAACAGTCAAAAGCTAACTGGGATAGATATTGCAGTCAAGAATTTCAGAGCCTGTCATTGGGTGATCCTACTCTAGCTTGTCTTCTAGTTTTCATAAGGCTTTACCCTTCCCAAGCTTTTTTAATTTTTTTTTTCAACATCAAATCTCAGAATTCTATGCCAGTTAAAAAATGGAAAAGATCAATAATTTAGGTTGTGACATAAGCAATACTCTCCAAACAGAAGACATGGGGCTGTAGGAACAGCACAACATCATACAGTAGTATGAATTCACAGATAAGAGCAAATTCTATATTTTTACTACCGTCATAAACATAGTTTTACCTGGATTTGAAGCATACAATCCTAAGCTACTTCTATTGAAAGACATGCTATGTAAATCTCCTTTTTTCATAAGTATCATACAGTAACCCAAAACATTTGCATTAAGGAAAGAAGTTGGTAGCGGTTCCCATTCAGGTTTAAGAGCTAAAACTTCTATTGGTCTTGCTTGCTTTTCTTCCTCTTCCCCTTAACTGACCAGCTTTAGCCAGGTAATGTCCATTTTGAAACACAGAGGATAATTAGGAATATTAAAGTATGTAATAAAAAAAGAACTGCAATGAAAATTTGGATTATTATTATATCAAATACATAACTTTCAGTATCAAACATGTTTAATCATTTCTTTTGCAGTATGTCCCAATGGAGTCAAGTTCAACAACTGGAAATAAAGTTTTTGGAGCAAGTAGACCAGTTCTATGACGATAACTTTCCCATGGAAATCCGACATCTACTGGCACAATGGATAGAAAGCCAAGATTGGTAGGAATAATTTTTTTTCACTCTTATGATTTCAGTCATAAACATTTTTTTTTGCTCATCTAGTAGATTTTTGGGTGCTCATTTGTGAACTGAGCAGACATCTACACCCCAAGAATAGTATTCCACTCGTTATGGATTTAGCTTGTTGAGCTAGTGTTACACTTTACTTACTTTAGGGATTCAGCATCAGTAAACTCCTGATAAAGCTGCAAAGTTCTTCTTAATTTATTAAATAACAATTGCACATATTTTGTATGTTATGGATGGGCTTATCTTAAACCACAGAATAAAACTATTTCCTACGCTTATTCCTAATAAATAAACTACCACATACTACATGAAAGATAAGACAGTACTTTTGAAGAGAAATTCTGAAAATAATTGGGTTTTCTGCATGTGTTGAAATAATGATTTTAATGAAAAGCACCATATTACCATATTTAAAGGTTAATGTAAGTATATACTCAATGTATAAACATTCTAGATTGGATGCACTTTCTTAGAGTACAGTTTTCTGTCCCTTACAGCTTTAAATTTAAGAAACATCTGGAAGTGAGTTTTCATTTCTACTTATTCCACTTATTCCTAAACAAAATCCCACAAAAATTGTCTAGCAAATTACCAGTATTAAAGGTTTTTCATCCAAAAAAAAAAAAAAAAGCAAGTCAGATTTGAATGGAAATGTTATTAATTTGCCTCTTACAGCACAAAATTATTCGACCTGTCCAAACCAGCTATTTGCAGGAACAGTTTTCTAGAAGGTGAATTTATGCACAAATCTGGATCAAATTCCCTGCATAGTTATCTTAAGAAAATCCAGAACTAGATACTGAAAAGAGTTTATATTAGTAGTACCAGTAAGACATCTCAGCTTGACAAGCTAATTGCCCAAGGCTATTGGGGGACTATCGGAAAAATCTGCTAAGGAATATAATCTTTCCTCACAGTTTATGACATACTATGCTTATGTGCCTATGGGAACATGGGGAACATTAAAATCCCCTGTTTGCCAGATTTAGCAGTCATATCTCAAACAGGCATCTGCCATTTGGGGAGCAAGGAGAGAGTGCCCTAAGGACAAGGATGCCATGCAATCCAAAGCTTATCTTCCTCTATTCTGCTCACTAATGATATTGCCCATCGAGTAGCAAGCTGTTCCATAAACAGCAGAGCTAGTAAAGCCTGTTTTCTCATGTATTTGTGTCCTTTGTCCCCTACATACCCTTCACCAG